TGCTCTTGCATATTGAGTAAGCAAGATATGTATGATGACAAATTATTTACTCGTTTATTAGCTAATTGATCTATACGTAATGTTCATGTCCGTCTAATGGCCATGTGATATGGATTCTACAGCTGATGAATTTGGTTGACAACAACTAGTAATCCCCTAGACATTTTCAAAGTTGGAATCTTTAGTCAATCGGCGGGGCTTCATGTTCTGTACTTGTAACGGTTTGCCCAGAAGAGGTAATGGAAGAAATTTAGACCACTGAGTAGGCACATCAACCAGAAGAACCTCTCTAGGTGGTAGTGATTCAAGTTGCTTCCGGAAAGCCACGGTGTGTGTCGAAATATGCCGGTAATATTGTTGACAATCGATGTAAGCACTGAACTGAAATAGTATCCCATGGAAAGTGAAGCCCAGGAGAGGGAAGTGGCCAAAGATCTCATGCTTGTCGGTGCCTCGGTGAAGAAGAATTCCATCATTCCAGCTAAGGTGAAAAGATCAGCCGATCCAAGAAACAAGTATTGTAGAGCTATCCAAAGGAATGTGATCGGTAGAGGCTCGGCGGAATCGAGTAGCCCCAACTCGACTGCGACTTTTTTCCTCTTTATTTCCACTAGAGCTGCCACTGCCATTGCAATGATAGATAGAATCAGCCCTGTTCCTATTCTCTGGAGATGAGTGATTCCCATTTCAGTCTTGGTTACTTTCCTGGCGAATGGAATGATGACATGATTATACGTCGGTGCAATGATCATCACGAAGACGACAGGGAAGACGGGTAGAGAAGCCGGTGGAACTTTTAAGGAACCAATTTTGGTGTTCATAGTGGCTGCTTGTTGGATTGAAAAGGTAGAGAGCTGAGCGAGGCAGCAGTTCAGCATTATAGTGCACATAAAAACTGGGATTATCCTTAGCACTATTTTCACCTCTTCTACTTCCTTTACTGTGCATTGTAACATTAGGCTAGCTGGTTTTGCTGTGATTGCTTTGTTTAGGAACTTGAGGTCTTCTGTGAGAGTCTGACTTGGGACCTTCACCTTGGTATCACTCTCTTCTTCTCCGGTTTCGGTACCGTACGATGACGGGCTCGTCTCCATGCCCATGACTGTATTACTTGGATTCTTAGACTTGCAATTGTTGTAAATGGCTGCAACTAAAACCTGTTGGACATGAATTAGAAAGGACCACTTGATCAAACTCTAGCTTTTTTCAACTTGCAGTGCTTTTGTCTTAATTATTCGTTAATCTTCTACCTTGAACATTGTGGTAATGGGGCTTCCTGCTGGTATCTTTGTTCTGTAGATAGGAGAGCCAAGTAGAAAAACTGGGATGGAAGTCAGTATCGCTGCGGTAGCGACACCGAAACCCCATTGCCATCCTCTGTTGTCTTCAATCCATACCACAAATGTCACTGCAATTAAACCTCCACAAGAGAGGCAGAAAACGAAGTAATTGAAGAACGAAGATCTCTGCTTCCTCCCTTGTGTGTTGGTATCATCAAATTGCTCAGCTCCATGAGGGGGAAGTGAACCTTTTATTCCACCAACACCTAGTGCCACCAGATAAAGGCCAGTAAACAACACGGCTTCTTTATGACCATCGACTTTCTCGAATGGAATTTCGGTGCTTGCTGAAGCATAAATCGACGGTTTCAACGAAGGTATGTGAGCTTGCACTGTGAGTATTAACAGGCCCTGTTGAAGTCAAGTAAATAATATCAGTGAAAAAGGAAAATTCAAAAGTCCCCACCATCTGATTACTCAAAACAGTAGTAAATGGAGTTTTCATGGGCATCATGCGACCTAAATTGATATTATTTTTATTAGTTGCATTCAATTGAAGTGGATTCATAGATGGGGAATTTTTCTCTTCCACCAATCAGATTTCTCTAAATGTGTTAATTGCAGGTAGGGACATCATCAGATGTTTTTGTGATGATTTCCCCTACAGAAAAGGGGGACCCCGAGAACTATGTTACTTGGACTCGAGTGCAAGTTTTGGGTACGAGTATGTCTCTAACATAGATATGGTCAGTTTTTTCCTATACTTTTGTGCCTTTTGTTTCTCTTGTTTCAATATTTGACTTGTTTATGGATGGAAAAAATAACATAAAGTTAATAGTTTGACTTCACTGTTAGATTCTTACCACGAATTCTATTGCAGCACTAGTCAAATAGAGGCGATAGGTGGTGAAGAAAGCATCTGATAGAAAGCCACCAAGGAGAGCAAGGAGGAAGGCTGTTCCCATGAAATTGGTAACAATGTTCGCAGAGCTCGACGGTGAATAGTGCATGAACTTCGAAAGGTACATCACGAGGTTGCTCGCATTGGCCAGGAAAGCTAGGTTCTCCAGTATCTCCACCACTAAGGTATATCAAGGTCAGACAAGTTGTCTATTGAATTTACTTTTGTATGACCTTGGAAGCATATAAAAAGCATAACAGATAATGTGCTATTTCAAGTAACGCTATACACCGCGTACTGACCTAAGACAAAGGACGCCGCGAGCATGCCTCCGTGCCGGTCTCTCAAGGCAGGTCTATTCCTCCAATTCACATACCCTTCCCATGTGTTCAACTGCCGTCCTTCTTCCTGCAACGACGAACCAATACTCAAATTAGAAACAAGTGGCAACGGCCGGAGATAAAGTAAGAAACGGAATCGGAATGTAAGATCACACCATGGCAACTTTTATTACTATATCTCGGGTTGAGAATGTTTTAATAAGGAATGTCTTGAGCAAAAGGTAGTAGAGGTTTGATTCATTTATATAGACAAAGAAAATGTGGTCCAAGCCTTAGAGAAAGGTCTAGACCATATGATAAAGACTCCTCATTCCTATATACATTTTCAGTGTTGATAAGGAAGATACTAGCGGAGGTATGTTCTTATCTAAGATCACTTGGTTACAGTGAATCATAATGGAAATGAGGATAAAACTAGAAGCATGACAGATTAGGAATCAATAATTGTTTGCACATTTGTTATGATGATGATTGAAACATGTTGTTATATGTTTTTTGTTACCCCAGATGATATATCTAATCATTATCATCAAAACAACACCAATAAGAAGATCATTTGAACTTCTTAATTATGATTATTATCATCCGGTTCAATTAGAACTTGTCTATACATGTGTAAGGAGATGATTTTGTAGTTGACGTTAATTGCGAATTCGAAATGTATGTGGTGTGAGATGATTGCCTGGTTAAAGTCCAAACTGTGCAACATATAGATGCCCAAGGTAAAGCTAAATAAGAATAAAGGAAACAAGTGGAGTAGATTAAATGAAGTGGTAGTGATATGATGTTGTTGAAGGAAAAAGCTAAGGTCATGTGGTTTTGTTGTACATGCCCCACACCCCACACCCCACACTCACCCTTCCTAGTGGTAATGTCATTGTGTCTTGAAAAGCTAATCTGGAGAGAGATGAGCGCCTTTTCTACCTCCACTATCTCTGTATTCTCCTATATTTTGACTTTCTAAATAAAGTTAAACACTTGCTTTTTCTTATATTTCTTGATGATGGTGTCGTTAACTCTAGAACCGACACCAGTCACCCTACTCTTGAATGTGTGGGATATATATACCTGCATAAACAAGATTGAAAGGAAGAACTTTCAACCTAACATCTACTGCCGATCGTCTTTTTAATTTTTTTTTCAAATTACCACCGACGGTGATTCTTCGTCCAATTCAAAAAAGTGAACCGCCTAAGACCACTACCTTCCTACTCAGACTATCAACATTTCTATATACACGTATAAAAAAGAAGTTGCTCCATGTCAGTTGGGTTAGGCCGCTTGAGTCACTTATCTGACAAAAACTCAATCTCATGTCATGTTGTGTCACTGTCTGATCCATGTGAATGTTTTGTCTGTTTTTTTCATGTTCCCCACTTGTGCTTTCAGCTTCAATATTTCTCAAGGTCACTATAAAGAGAAGGCAGGCCATCCGAGGTGTGTACTGTATTGATTCCATTGGTGTTACCTTTTCCACCGGTTTCCTTTGTAGGCCACCTGAATGTTCACGTTGCTCGGCTGATCATGTGGACACGATAACCGATATACCTTTCGGAAAATCTCCAAATTGGGTGGCTTATAGCCTTTAGAATTGGGACCACATTCATTTCCAAGCACACATAAGATTTGAACTTGGTACTTGTGACATACCTTTTATGAGATAAAACAGTAAAATATTAGGTAAATTAGCATTTCAGGCAACAATAAAAGCCAATGAAAATGAGATGGAGTGAGATATTAAACTGGGATATTGGGCATCATAGGCTGTTAACTGTACCGGAGTTGTTGGCCAATGTCGCTGTACGCAGGACACCGTCGTGTGTAACCCGAGTGAGTTCGCTTGCATATAGCTGAAGGCACAGCTAGTCGTACCGGAAGTTAGGCCGATGTTCCATCAGCTACCACCGCCCACTAACAGGCCTAGCTAAGCCACCATCTTCATGTCTTGAAAGATTTTTATTCATTGATTGTATTTTATGTATGTTTTATAATTTATATTCAAGATCCCTGATTATTTCATCTGATATTACCATCTTCAAGATTAAATGTGTCTATATAATTTTTCTTAAAAAATAATTTTTAAAACTTTTCTTTTATTACACGATTTTTGATAAAAAGATGATATGGTTAAGATATGTTTTTGTTGATAAGAGAATTTGGGCGTTTTTCCCGAAAAATCATCTTTTTAATTTAATATTCCAGATCAGACACCGGTCAGATTATATTTTTCGATCTAACACCCTTTGCAGTAAGGCGCGCCCCCTGCAGCGTGCTATACGCTGATTTGGCGCCACGTGGGGTAAGGCACGCCTTATGCTGACATGGATACACGTGTGTATGGCGCGGGGAAGGTTGGTAATTAAGGGTATAGCGCGGGGCAGGGCCGCGCCTTACCTGTGATTCTGACACGCGTCAGAAAGACACGGCCCCTGCCCCGCGCTATACCCTTAATTACCAACCTACCCCCGCCCGTTCACACACATCCCTCCCTATAAATACCCCCATTCTCAATCACTTTCATCACACCAAATCCTCTCGAATACTCTTATATTCTCTTATTAAGGTATATTTTATTATATTTAGTATTTTTTAGTAATTTATTTAATTATTTTAATTGTTTAATATTTTATTTAATTAATTTTTTTGCAGATATAAAATGGAAGGCGATATACTTTGGTTGGATGTAAATCATATATCTCGACACTTTGCTGATACGGTAACATTTTAACGTTTTAATTTAATTAATTAAATAATTTAATGCATGATTATTAGTTTAAAAATTAATTTGTGTAATTATTTATATTTTAGGAGAGAAACCGTATATTAGATCCTTTTATTAGGAAACTTAAGTTATTTATACCTACTCGTGTAATGTCGTATTTAGTAGAGGCTGGATTCGGTCACCTAGGTAGATATCAGGGTCACTGTAAGATAGAACCAGACCTTATTTCTGCCTTAGTAGAGCGGTGGAGGCCGGAGACCCACACATTCTATCTTCCGTGCGGAGAGTGCACGATCACGCTTGAGGATGTTCCTATGCACCTGGGGCTTTCGGTGGATGGAGGTGTGATATCAGGGATAACTTCCAGTTCTTGGACTACTTTGTGCCGTGTTAGTCTAGGACGTGTCCCGGAAAATTTTAACGGTGCACGGATACCGTTAAATTGGTTAGATGCCAATTTTCGGGAGTTGAGCGAGGACGCGTCTGACGATGAAGTTACACAGTATGTACGGGCATGCATACTGCAGCTGATAGGATGGTTGCTGATGCCGGAAAAATCGTGCAACCAAGTTCACTTTATGAGGTTGCAACATCTTGGCGACTTTCATCTGGCCGGATCACTCAGTTAGGGATCGGCAGTTTTGCCTTGCCTGTACAGGGAGATATGTCGAGCCATTGACTACAAGCGGAATGCTATCGGCCAATGTCTCTTGCTGCTGCAGTCTTGGGCATGGTATCTGTTGGGATTTTCGGAAGCTCGAATAGATAACCAGAATGGTTTGTAAAGAGGGGTCAGAACGGTTTTGTGTTAAGGGAGTAAGGAGATTGAAAGATAGAGAATTGCACAGCGATTTATAGTGGTTCGACTTTCTCAACCAAAGTCTACGTCCACTACCTTAGCTCCTCACCAAGGATTTTCCAATAAATTTACTAATTTGTTCTTTCTTTTGAGGATAAAGAGTAACCTTACAAACTCCCTAGTTTTTTCAGGCTAAACTAGAACCTTTCCTTAGATTTTACATGGGCTAAGCTAGAACCTTCCCCTTTACAAAAGGATAAAAGATATAAAACAAGAAAACCTCTCTAAGGTAGGTGTTTACAAGATTGAGCTCACAAGAACAAATTATTTACAACAGAAAGATGAAATAAGATTGAAAAACTCTTCTCTTGTGTTTGATTGCTTGGATAGTTGTTCTCTTATTTCTTCAAGTGTGCTTAGCTTGTATTTATAGCTTGGAATGTGTTTGAAGTCGTATATAGTTGTTGGGGATGTTTTGGAGCCGTTTGGGGATGAGAATCAATTAATAAAACAGCTTGGAGCGTGGGGGAATCGGTACCCCCTCATAGGGAATCGGTTCTCTAATTACAATCTGATTTTGACCGTTAGACAGGGGGGAATCTGCTCCCCCTGGGGGGAATCTGTACCCCCTGGACAATCTGATTTTTCTTGAAACCCTTTAAAAAGAAAATATTTTTGGCTCGATTAAGGCTCGAAATACTTTGTAAAATTGTTTTAAAATAGTTTAAGTATAAAACACAATTTTACACTTTAGTAAGGATTAAAATGAACTTTGAAACACTTGGAGTAATATTTTGATATTCAAATAATTATATCGAATATACTTAGAAAATCATTTGCAAAATCTTAAAATTCATTTGTTATATCGAAACATCAAAATGTTTTCAATAATCTCTCCCTTTTTGATATAACAAAACATTTGAGTAATTTTAAGATTTTGAATTCAAGTTTGAAATTACTCCCCCTTACTTTAACACTTTTCCCCTTTAAAACACTTTAACACTTCTCCCACTTTTTGTTAAATCAAAAAGATTCTAATCTTTGAAGTTCAAAATAACTTTGGAGAGTAAATAGTAAATTTGACATTTTTTTAAAAAAATCATTTGAAAAATCAAAGCTCCCCCTCAATAAATGCATTCCAAATAAAATTATGCTTTTAGGATCTTGACACTTAAACAAAATTGAATTTCAACAAAGAATAACAAACATGTTAGTAGCACAAGAAATTTAATACATCCAAGTCTAAAATACTTTATGCAATATCAATTATTGAAATTAAGTGCATATTCATAAAGTTTTCCAAAAATGTTATGCATTTGAAAATTTTTATATCAATTGTTAGAGAGATATCATTTTTATTTAAACCACATGCATAAACATTTAATTTTAGGTTAAAAATTTTAAAATTTATAAAATCAAAACATTCGAAAAGTTGATATCAATTGTTAGAGAGATATCATTTGCATTAAAACCAATTTTGACCAAAATTCCTTATGATGAACTAAAAATTAAAAAAAATCATTAAAACTTTAAAATATTCATCATAAAACCTTTTTAACATACATGAGATTAAAACAATAATGTATAATTATTTAATAACAAAACTCATGCATGCTTAAAATCAAATGAGCAACCAAATAACTAAAATTAAAAACATTAAGCTTAGAGGTTACCCATTCCTTTTC